AACTCTGCTGGTTTATCGGACTTATTTCACACCTAGTGATCAATGATAGTGTATAACATACAGTTGTGAGAATCATCAAATGAATGAGATTTTTCTGATAGTGGTTTCAGGATTTTTTTTGTGAAAGTTGCAGTACTGTAACTGGAAACGAAAGAAAAGAGAATCTTACCAAGCATCCCATCAAGACATCAAGATGTTAACTTTTATCCCGTTCATCTAATTTTTTTTAAAAGTAGTAATTAGGTTGAAAACCTTTTGTTAAGTGCTGTTCTTCACCTACACCACATTTGAGCAATACATAGTGATTGATGTTCTGCCATGTGTTATTACTGTTATGAACTACTGAGGATGTGTTATGTTCCTATCATTTTCTTTAGCTCTACATTATCTGAATAGATAAGTTTCTGGACAGGTGGTGATCGTTGATGATGGAAGTGCTGATGCAACAAAACAAGTAGCTTTTGACTTTGTAAAGAAATACACAGTGGACAATGTAAGGATTATCCTTATTGGTAGAAATCATGGCAAAGGAGAGGCGATTAGAAAAGTGAGTATAATCTAAGCTGTTCTTTGATTCAGTTATGTAAGCTGTAATGCTGTTGGTGGACCCATGTTTTCTCCCATGTTCATAACAACATCTCATTGAAGCTTGTTACCTATGTGAAAGCATTGTAAAACAGGGCATGCTTCATTCACGTGGTGAACTACTTTTAATGCTGGATGCTGATGGGGCAACCAAGATTGCTGACTTAGAGAAACTAGAAAACCAGGTTCGTTTTAGCAGTTGCTTTGTCTAGTGGGTAAAACCCTGCAAATTTCTTTTTTTAAGAAGAAGAAGAAGTTCAGCTATTGTGAAACTTCACTTCAGGCTATCTAATGTCTTACCTATCAGATCCATGCAGTTGCTAGAAAGGAGTTCTGTTTAGGAGAGTCAGCAGCTGGTGATTCAAGTTTTAGAATATCTGATGTGCCACTTGCTGCCTTTGGTTCCCGTGCTCACCTTGAGGAGAAGGCTTTGGCTACAGTTCAGTCTTATTGATGCTTCTCTATAATTCACATGTTTCTTGATTTTTCGCTTCAGCATCCTTATTTTATAATTGCCTTTAGTTGATCTGCTTGCCTTCATGTCTCAGAGGAAGTGGTACCGCAATTTTCTTATGAAAGGCTTTCATCTTGTGGTTCTCTTGACTGCTGGTTCTGGAATTCGTGATACACAGGTAATTTTCTGCAGCATTTAGTCATGCCGGTATATGTGGTTGTTAGTTTGATGCTAGCAGACTTTTCTTTTTTTTTTGGTCGAAGCTTGAAGGTCATAGAAAGTAATGCTGTAAATATGCCTTCTTTTTTCATGATGTTGTCTTTCATGCATTCCAGTGTGGTTTTAAGATGTTCACCAGGGCTGCTGCCAGAAAGTTGTTCACAAACATCCGGCTGAAGAGGCAAGTATAAACTCTTAAAGATATTGAGTAATTGTATCTTTTCTGCTCCTATCTTCTAAAAATCATTAGAAGAAACCATAGGTATGCTGATATTTATATTCCCATATGTTACTTGTTGCTCCTTACTCTATCAAACTATCAACCTATGTGTGTACCATAAAATCTAATGAATTCTGGTTTAACCTTTTTTCTTCTTTCTTTGCTACTCTGCTTGCTTTTTATACTTTGGCTCCAAATCTCTTAACAGGGACTGACACATCAACATGTACTTTGTGCAGATGGTGCTTTGATGTTGAGTTAATTTTCCTATGCAAATGGTTTGGTATCCTGATGATTGAGATTTCTGTAAACTGGTCTGAAATTCCAGGATCCAAGGTGAATCTTTTAAGCATTCCCAACATGCTCTGGGAGCTAGCGCTCATGTCCGTGGGATATAGAACTAGAATGTGGAAAATTAGCAGTTGAGACTTCTCATTTGATTTTATTTTTGACAACTGTTGCGATCTTCCGGGCATTCTTGGCTCTAGAGTGATTCTGGCACTTGATTAGTCAAGCTTAGGGTATACGAGCCATGGAATATGCTGTTGCAATGAATACGATTCTAACTCAGCAGTTTCAATCTGTAATGCTATTTGTGGAGCGCATCTTTTCGTTCCATTTAAAGAACATGATATTATTGTTTCAGAACTTAGAATCATATGATCAAATTATGCAGTTCATTCAATTATATGAAACTGGGGAATGCTATTAGGGTCCCTTTCATTTTTATATAAGTTGACACACATCAAGCATTACGTTTTTGCAGATTGTAGACAATTCTGTAATGCTGTCATGACGCTCCCTTATTCTTGTCGCTGCTCTTATCTATAGGATGAGATTTAATTTTGTTCCTAGCGTCACGATCCAGAATCTTATTGCAAGCTTTTCTCTTATTCAAACGAATCAGGATTGTGAAAATCACAGACGACTCATGGCACTAGAATAACCTAAGGCCAGAGTAGCTCTGTTTTCTTCTTTTGTGCCCCATGCATTAGCTTACGATCACATACTTTGCCTAGAGGTTGGAGGTTTGAGTGGGTGGCTGTAGCTTGATGCGGTGGTAGGTGTGGTGTTTGCTAGAAAAAGAAGTGTGTTGAAGAGAGAGGATACTATTTTTAATCAAACCTCAGCCGTAAAATACTTTCATTTTTGCAGCATCATTTTGTTCTTTCATTACCAGTGACGAATTAATCAACAAGAGCCATCTATCATAAATATTCGCTAGATTAATAAAAACACCATAACCGGACGATCCAAATCTCCTTCAACTGCCGCATTTTCAGAACAAAAATTCAGTCATCAAGAAAACCAAAATCAACACCGGCCAGGAATTGATATTGAATTCATCAGCAAACACTTTCTTTCCCAACCTGAAAGGGCCCCGAAAATAAAAGGCGCACGGAAAAAAAGTTGATTCTGGCTTTTTACTTTTTGTTTGCATCTTTCTTTTTTTCTAACTGTGGCAAATTATTATTCATCACCTGAAGATGTAAAACCTGAAACGGGTTACGAAGTGGTGAAAGTCTGAAAAGCAAAGGCTAAGGTCATAGATTGTGTGCTTCAGTTCCTGATAAATTAATCTTGACGATGACATGTTTGGGGGCTTGAGAAAGAGAATCGGGATCAAAGAAGCGCCTAACCAGCACGCTCCATGTTGACAAGGCTAATAACTGGGCTGAACCATGAAAAGAACAAATCAATATTACAGGCCTGGCTGGGTCTGATATCTAATTTCAAGTCTGATAGGAGGCCCATTCATTAGGGTGGTTTGGGCTTGAGCGGCCACAAATTGCAAAGCCCAAGTCTTTCGAAAATCCTCAGTCAGGCTTTCCACTTCCTCTATCTTAAATATTCACTTGCATTCATGTCTTTTCCCTCTCATTGCATAAGCAAACATGCACTTTTAAAGAGTAGTTGGTGTTTGTTGCTGTTGATGGAGTAGTCGCATGCATTACATACACAACTGAGAATTCCGGGAGAACATCCAAAGTGAAATATTCTATTCACGAATGTCAAAGAACATGGCTATGCTTCTAAACAAAAGCAGCAAGATGGGTACACAACTGAGAATTTCGGGAGAAAATCCAAAGTGAAATATTATATTCATGGATGTCAAAGAACATGGCTATGCTTCTCAACAAAAGCAGCAAGATGGGTAGCCCTCTTCTCCATGAATTCAAGAGGCAAGCTTCCTTCCTCTTACAAGAGAAAATGAAAGACTACTCGTTTGGCGCTAACTGATGTTGCGCCAACAGAACTGTACGTTAAGACTCCATATCATTTGTGTTAATTTATACCATTTTGATGCCATACAATTATTTATTAACTCTTTTATTTGTTCAAATTGTCTTGAATCTGTTGCGTTTTTCGCCATAAAGTTTGACAGAAGAGATCACAAATGGAGATATGTGGGCTCCGGATACACGTACCATGGGTGTTATTTCACTGGCTGCCTTCGAAGTTGATGATTACTGGAGAATTGTGGACACTCTGCACAAGAGGTTTATATTTTGTCTATTGGGATTCGCTTTATCTATTTGCCCTCCTATAGTCCTGTGAAACTTATATTATGCTGAAGGATTTAAGTTTCTTCTTGGCTGCCAATTCAGGTTGATGAAATTTGATAGTAAAAATTGGGGAGTCTCTTGGAAGACACAGATTCTATTGGAACATCTGCTAATAACAAATGGACCTCTAAGAGTTGCTGACGAGTTTCAGTGTGATAAAGATGCCATCAAGGAGATGGTTAGCTTCCAGTTTGTCCATGAGAAAGGGTCGGTGTAGTTTCTAATTAACAAATTAATCAATGTACAATTTTATGGTTGTAGCCTCCAGTTTTTATACGGTTTCACTAGCAGGTTCAATTGGGGATCGAGAGTAAGAACACTATCTCAGAGAATACTGAAGCTTCTTGAAAATGGACTATTTCTCAAAAAAGAAAGGGCAAGCGCTCGTAAGTTAACACGAGAGATTCAGGGGTTTGGTAGCTTCTCCCGACGATCCTCTTCAGCCGATGAAAGCCTTAAAGCATCAGACTTCAGGACATGGTTGAGGTGTAACTCAAACTATAGCCATCAACACAATCATGCAGAAGATGACGAGTTCATGGACTCAAACGAGAAGCTTTTTTTCGAGGAAACAATCCACATCCACGAGGATACCAGCCAGCTAGTACTGGAAAATCCAGTGAAGATTTGCAGGGAGGAATATACTGCAGAAGATCATCCATTCTGCGACAAGCTTCATCATACCACAGTATCCCTTCTCTCTACCTCGGAGTGAACTTCCCAAACTGTTTTCTTTCTTTCCTTTTTCTAATGGTTTTGGAAGGATGTGAAAGGAGGAGATTGTGGAGATATGTGAAGTAGGCAGAGTGTGTTTATCCTTGTAAATGCACTGTAGCTTAGATGGCAAGGTGTTGTGTCATTTTCTGTGCGGGTTATACAAAAAATACAGCTCTTATCTTGATGCTTGATAAGAGTTAGCATTCACATATATTGAAAAGAAGCTAAAAACTTGATATCTCAAAAAATAATAACATGGCACCCCCAATATATTCCCAAGTATTTTTACTAGGCCAATCATCATTGTAAAGAGGAGCAAATCAAACCTAAAAAAAACCCCACATTTCCTTGGACCGCCCTAGTGATCAGCGTTCTTAATTAAACAGACGGCATATTTAGCAAAATACAGAAAACGTTAAAGAATAAAAATGTCTTGTAGAATTCAAAAGTTTGTTCACATCGCTGCCGTGAAATACAGACACCTGTATTGCGTGGAAAAAAGGTAAGAAATACTCACTTTTTTCCAGTCTCTTTCTCCTTGGCAGCAGCATCAACACTTTCGACTGGAGGCAGAGTCTACAAAAATAAAAATTAGAAGACTCCAGTTAGACATTTTATCGAACAGGTTGTGAGCAAAGAAAATGTAAGATGCAAATTGAGAAATGAAGAAGAATATTGTTACAAGGTTGGGTTTGTAGATGCTGTGGACAACTGAAGCGCCGGCAAGAAGCGAAACGATGGCAACAACGAAGGACCACCCCAGTGAAGGAGTGCCCGTGGGCTGCTTTCCTGCTCCGAATTTTTTACTCATTCTGGATTTCAGAAACTACCAATGGATTCTTGGACTGCAGGTCCCAACTTCTTCTGTGAAGTTCTAAGAAGATGGATCATGGTTTGGGCTACTACTTGGCCTTGAGGATGAATTGAATTAGGCCCAATCATGGTCAGAGCACCCTCTCTGTGTCCCCCGAGTGTTGCCTTCGTCATGTCCAAACTGAAAACCCGGATCCCAAAAAAAGAGACTCGGCTAAATTTGTCAAAGAATATTTGTTAAGATGCATAAATCATTCCTACAAAATTTATGAAGTAGATATATTGTGTTTTTGAGATGTAAAAACACGTGCTAGTTACTTTTAAAATTTTGAAATTTCCAATATTAGCGAGCGAGTAATATTTTTAAAAGAGCATTGATATATATATATATATATATAAACAAATTAATTTCAATTTTACATTTATTTATTTATTCTTGAGCAATCATTTAATCTTTACAAGACTCATGATTCACCGTTTATCTTAACGACGCATGTTTAGGGAAAAAACTAGTGGTTACTCTTAGAACATTCGTTAACGAGCAGTTAAATTTTTACTATTAATGAGTGAGTTTTGAACTTCTATTTTAATCTTAATTTAATCACTATAAATTAACCACGTATACATTGCCAGCAGGTGGATTTTTTATGGATTAAATGAAATTTCTGAAATTCAATATTATTTAATTATCCCCATATTTAACTAACAAAAACCAGAAATAACTAATTTCTTAACAAGTATCCTAAAAACATTTATATTCATACGAAGTTGCAGCCCATACTTTCGGTAATATATATATATAAAAAAAGAATATATTAGTTATTAGTCAATACATTGGCCTTAACCAGTATTCCCTGACACTCATCGGCCAATCCCAAGCCCGGAAATAAATTGGTCCCTTTTTTTAACAATAGAGATAGTGCACAATCTCCTTTCAGCACGGCAGAAGTATAGCATGACATGCGGCGATTGGCCACGAATTTGAAAGTGTAATCATAATTATTTTTTAAAATATTTTTTATTTAAAAATATATTTAAATAATATTTAAATAATTTAAAAACACTAAAAGAATTATTAATGTAAAATAAAAAATTTTAAATTTTAAATTTTTTTAAAAACACTGTTAAAACTAAAAATATCAGATTTCATTAAAAAAAAATTTTACTGCAACAGTAATTGCTTTTTATTTAAAAATTATTAAAAAAAACTTTTTTAAAATTTTATTTGCTAATGGCCACATTTATCCTTACAATTTTGAAGGTAACTGTACTTGTAAGTTGGATCACTATTGATTCAGGCTATTAATGAGATTCGGTTCCATGTTGTTTTTACACGTGGAATATTGTTGTAATTGACTCCTCGAATAACTCGTGCAAATTAGGCAAGGAAGTCCCCTAAACCCATTAACAAAATTAAGGGTTTTAGGGTGCAAAAGATAAACATTTTAACAGTCAAAACATCTAGAAATATTAATAATGAAAGAATTGGGACCGTTCTGGCAATCAACTTCTCGCCTTTTCAAAATCATCACTGCAACATGAGAATAAACATAGATGGATAACAAAGCTAGAATGAAAAGGATGGCAAGCTGCACTTCTATCCGAGAAATAAAGCAGTTTTTTTTCTTTTTTCTTGGCAATCCCATGCTCTAAGCATTTAGAAACATTTCCGATGCACAATTGATGGTCCAGACTCATCATACTCTGCCTTGGCAATCCACATCTGCAATCAAAGAAACAAGCAAGAAAACATTCCAGTCAGAAATCAATGTCAAATTAAGCTTATAGAAAGAACCATTCATGTATACATCATAGATTTCAACTAACCTGCTGGAAGGTGCTAAGGGATGCCAAGATAGAGCCACCAATCCAGACACTGTATTTCCTTTCTGGTGGTGCAACCACCTTGATTTTCATGCTGCTTGGTGCTAGTGCTGAGATTTCCTTGCTCATTCTGTCAGCAATTCCTGGGAACATAGTTGAACCACCACTGAGAACAATGTTACCATACAAGTCTTTCCTGATATCGACATCACATTTCATGATGGAGTTGTATGTGGTCTCATGGATGCCTGCAGCTTCCATTCCAATCATTGAAGGTTGGAAGAGGACCTCTGGGCAACGGAATCGCTCAGCACCAATGGTGATAACCTGCCCATCAGGCAACTCATAGCTCTTCTCAACTGTTGAGCTGGTTTTGGAGGTCTCTAGCTCTTGCTCGTAGTCAAGTGCAATGTAAGCTAGCTTTTCCTTCATGTCCCTTACAATTTCCCGTTCTGCTGTCGTTGTGAAAGAATAACCACGCTCAGTGAGGATCTTCATCAAGGAATCAGTGAGGTCACGACCAGCCAGGTCAAGACGAAGGATTGCATGTGGAAGGGCATACCCCTCGTATATGGGGACCGTATGGCTGACACCATCACCGGAGTCCAACACAATACCTGCATGGCAAAACCACAACCATCAAATAAGGTATCATAGAACAAAAAAAAATGCCTTCAAAAGAAAACAGGGGACCAACAAGCTCAAGATTTCAAAAAGAAATTGACCATGCCAACAAAAAAAAAATGGAAAACATCCACCTGTCTAAACACAACTGAGGAAAAACAGAAGGAAAGGAGATAAAATAGCAAGGACAACAGATTCATTTTTAGCCCTCTTCAAAATAATCTGTAATGGAAAATTTGGCAAATAATATACAGTTTCAATTTGAGCCCTCTTTAAGTCTCAATCAAATCACTTAACACCTTACCAGTTGTACGACCACTGGCATATAAGGACAAAACAGCCTGAATGGCGACATACATAGCAGGAGTGTTGAAGGTCTCAAACATGATCTGAGTCATCTTCTCACGATTAGCCTTGGGGTTTAAAGGAGCCTCCGTTAAGAGCACTGGGTGCTCTTCAGGGGCAACACGAAGCTCGTTGTAGAAGGTATGATGCCAGATCTTTTCCATATCATCCCAGTTGCTGACAATACCATGCTCAATTGGGTACTTCAAAGTTAAGATACCTCTCTTGGACTGAGCCTCATCACCAACATATGCATCTTTTTGGCCCATGCCAACCATCACACCAGTGTGACGAGGACGCCCAACAATACTGGGAAACACAGCTCGTGGAGCATCATCTCCAGCAAAGCCAGCCTAAAAGCAAATATTGAAATCAGTTTCTCCCAGAAACAATGCACAAAAACAAAGAAAGCAACTAGTTTAGAAAATTAAATCTGCTTAATGCAGATTTCTTCATAACAGAAAAAAAGCAACACTAGAAAGAAGTCTTATAAAATTTCCAACTAGAAGCTTATTTTCTAGATCATTCTAAAAACAAAGTTTCAAATAATCTCTGCCAAACTTACACTTTCTACAAACACAACATAGTCGAATCACATACCTTGACCATTCCAGTTCCATTATCGCAAACGAGTGGCTGAATATCCTCGGCTTCTGCCATCTTCTAATGCCTGCAACACCAAACAGCAATCAGCAAAAAGGTACGGACTTCGTTTATCAACCAAAGCAGATTCATCAATTCATTTTCTCTTCTTGAACATCATCAAAATCATCTCGTAATAAGTACATGAAACTGTTCATTCAAATTATTAGACAGAATCAAACCAGATTTTGCAACTAGCATAAAGTAAAATAAAGCAACACAACAAATGAAGCAGAGGATATATACATATATTGAAATTAAATAAAGCTTCAACCACGCCACATTCATTATAGATTCGTAGCTCATTGCACAAAACTAAATACTTAATATTAACGAGGATGAAATAGCAAATCAACCATCGTGTTTCTGTCTTTTTAAAAACTAGTAAAAACAAAATATTTGGAATTAAAAAATAATCAGAAAATGGACAGATAAATCGCATCCAAGTCAAAATGCATCGAAGCATTTGTGAATATCTGCAAATAAATGATTAAAGAGAACAGGCAAATCTCGCGAAATTACGTTCTTCTTTAACGCAACATACCAATTGCATGCTAAATTAAAACATAGACATCCACTAAAAAACGCGAACGCAACAACTCCATTTCCAACATTATGATTCTAATGTGTTTTACGTTCTTCGTCGCTAATTTCCCAATTTTCTTTCAGATTTTAGACAAAAAAAAGTAAAATGATCACAAAATCAGATCCAAACAGACGATCAAAATTAAAGGAACAAGAAGAAATGATTTCTCAGCATGAGTCGCAAGCACATTACAAGATCCCCAGCTTTATGAAGCAAAATGCAACATAAAAAACAGCACAGATCGAGGCTGCTATATAACAGATCGAGAAGAGAGAACAGCGATTGATCGAAAAGAGGAGGAAGAAATGGACCTTGTTAAAAGAGAGGAAGGATTTTGAGAGAGATAGAGAAAGCTAGACGACGCACAGCACACAAACAAACAAAAATGTTTTAGAGGGGGGTTGCCTAGCCTTCTTCTCTTTTTGAATGAGAAGGGAAGAAGCTCAAAATATATGCAACGCGAGATGCGTTGTGAGCCGCTGGATTCTTTTATTTTTATTTTGTGGGCACAGCTTACAGAGGGGAACGCGTCATGCGCTATTATTATTATTATTATTATTATTTTTGAATCTTCCCTAATCTATCCTATTCCTGTCTGTCTGGAGTTATTATTTCTTGCTCGATCCAGCTCCTTCCGGTTTTCCAGTCATTTTCTTTTTGTCGCTCCTCCGTCTGTTTTCTTTATTTTAGCCTCCTCTTTTCTCTTTTTCCTTTTTTCTTTCTTACCGGGAGTACACTACCTTAATTTTATTTCTATATGGGGATTTTATTGTAAGATCGACAGTGACCGGCAAATTGACCTAAATTTTGTCGGCGTCCGAGCCACGTCAACTATAATCGAATTTTTTAGCGCTTTTATCGTGCTGCAAAGATCTCTTTCAATATTACGAAGGAGATGGTTGATTAGCGCTCATCCATTTACTCTTTTTTAAGTTTTTTTCAATCCTGTCAGTACAGTCCACTATTTGAGCATGTTAGAGTTGGACATGTGCATTTCTATTACTACTTTTCCCTTCACGAGTAAAAAGGTAGGAACTTTCCCTTGATTATGAAATGGCAAGCCATGATTCATGGAAGAATCAAAGATGTGCGTTGGATAAATAATATAGTCCAGCGTTTACTTTTTCGCTAAAATGGTTATTCCAAGCTAGCTGGAGCTGCCTTTTCCAGCACATAATAGTTGGAGTGGGCTTCAATGGCTCGGACGGACCCTTTCTCTTTTACATGGACAGTGCTGCCAGTCGAAGCATATGAATCACAAGGGTGGGTGCGATGGGGGACAAAAAAGCTGGAAATTCTGAATCTTTTGAGTGCAAACACCTTACATTCCCTCCCAGCATGGTGGGTACTGTATAGGCCTTAGAATGTCACCAGTAGCAATGATGATTTGGTTATAGATCTAGAAACCAAAAACCAGTGGTCAACTTTTGCGAAGTATCAATAATCATATCCACCAGAACTCCGAGCTTTACATAAATATGAAGTAATCCCTAGGGATCGAATGAATTTGCATATAAAAGGTGTAGTTTTGGCACATCAATTTGCAGTTTTCTCGTGAATTAGACGTCTGCTAGATAAATGTGGCCATTAACACACTGCCTGTCGTATGCAGGCTTCTCTTGCGGAACATAAAATGACGTCCTCTTGGCAAAACAAATCTCCTCTCCTATACTGGCGTATCCTCTAATATGATCTTGATAATAAATTCCCACCCACCACTCAAAAACTGCTATGGCCATAATTGGCATAAAAAGCTGGAGAGGACATCAGCCCTCCATTGTCGTGGCTTCTACCCTGCATGCTTTGAAAATTTGTATTTAATGAACTGTAGTTCAATGTCTACACCGAGACCATGAAGTTGGGTTTCATAATGCGGCACCTAGCAATGGTCAGCGTGCAAAAATATCACTTATCAGGCAACGTAACCCATATTGCAAGTTGACGAAATGAGCCATGGTTTTAGGCTAGATCCATGGAATAATACATCCCGCTTTGAATGGAAAGAAGAGAGCTGAAGAAGCACAAAACTCATAACCATGCCACCATTTCAATGAGTGAAACAAACCAACACGATTAAGTAAATCTATTCCAGATAATTCAAGACAGGAAGAGAAATAAAGGATTATGGAGTGAAGTATCCCCATCGCCAAGTGTCTCCGTTAATTTATGTTGTCTACAATAAAAGACTTAAAGATCTACGAGAATTCAATGAGAACGTGTGCTCCATTTTCTATTGGACAGGGGCACAGTCCCCAGAAATATGAGATTCCTGACACCGAATCAGATGATGTACCAAAGAAGCTGACTAGTGGCAGAGATACCAGTTATTCTACAGGAATGGGGGCAGTATAACCCATCGGCGTGGATATCTGGGTCTTCCGTCCTTTCCATCAAATAGCTGCAGAGGGCAGGATGCGGTGTAAGTAACAAAAAAACAAATGCCAAAAACAGGAACGAAAGGAAACCACTTTTTTATTTAGCTGTTTTGAGATGATTTGATCCATGACATAAAACCATGCCATGACAAGACAAGGAAGCAGAAAAAAGGTCGAGATGTTGTGCATGTGTTTCCTTCAAGCCCAAAATTTCACTCACAAGTATCGACTCTAGATAAAAGAAATTGCTTTTCCATTATATCATCCTTCAGTAATATGAAGACTATAAATTTTCCAGGGAAAGACGAAACATTGTGATGCGGATCCGGTTAAAAAAACTCAGCAACTAGTGAACACCTTATTTTGATGAATGTGATAGGATCAGAAAATTTGAATCAGTTAAATCCATCTCAACTCTGAGAAAATTTGAATCAGTTAAATCCATCTCAATTCTGATAGGCTTCAAATCCAAATCTGCATGCAGGCCCACCCACAATACATACCTAAAAAGATATGCATGAATTTACAGGTGGCACATTATAAGTGTGATTATATGGAAGTTCAGAAGCTAGTAATCTAATGTTGTCTATATCGAACCATCTTTTATAACCTATAATATCTTACTGCCACAGCAACCCACGGTTGCCCTATGTGCAGGGAAAGACTTGCGATTTTTTAACTTCTTATGTAGAAAATGCAAGAATATATTTGAAGCTACTAGTTCAACCAAAATTACAGAGAGTTACCTTCTTCAATCTCCGATGCTTTGCAAGGGCCCAGTTGGTCATGATGGAAGTAGCAACCACAAGAAAAAAGTACCCTGAAACAGTCTGGGTTGCAATGTTGAAACCTAACCACTGATAAATCTCTGTTGTGTAATTTGCACATGTCACAATATTGAAGAGAAACCCGGTTGGAATTTGATAGCCACCATTCCCACCTGGACGGCGAAGATTCCTCAGCAACATATGGCAATACAAGTTTGCAAGTTGACAAACCAAACCAAATCCAAATCCGATCTTCATTTGAAGATCACTAACAGGGGTGTAAAGGGGATGGTTCACATAGTAAGCGATAAAGGAACCAAAGGTCCAATAATAAGCACAATTTCGAAACACATTGGAGAGTGGCGAGGTTGCATGGCTAAATCGGTGCACAAAAAATGTTTCCATGATGCGTTTGAAATAGTGGAAGCACCAGTAGTACAATGCATATGTCTGAACTGGGTGCATGATGTGCTCTCCCTTGTAGCCCAAAAACTGGTAGACTGGGAAGTAGTAAAAAAAAGGATAGAGCACCAAAGGACCCAAGTATTCACAGAAAAAGAGTGTGCGATAGGAAACTTGCGGACCCAGGTCCTTGAAAACAACAGTTAAGCTATTCAAATTCCCATCACAGTATTCTTTGAGGTTCTTCTTGTAGCTAAGGACAACAGGCCTTTCCTTTGATCCCGGTGGAAGAGGTAGGGTCAGCCGCTGTCTAGAAGGGTAGAATTTTTTGGCTGTTGATGTAAGACATGAAGAAAGGTTATTGAAATAAAACTACATCTGATGCTCCAACTACACACACAAACACTCCTTACTTACATATGGTTCCTTGGTAAGGAAAGTAGGGGCTCGAGTAAAAAAGAAAATAGACATAAATTTGAAATTTGGCAACAAAAAATTCAAAGTTCAGAGCCAATCTCATGCTTTGAAGATCTCTTATTCTCGATTTTAAAGAACATATGCCATTGATATATTTGCAACTCCGATCTTGTGAGTTTCATCGTAATGATGTATGAAACATCAAATCAAATAACTCTCAGAAGCTTTTTGCAAGAAAGAAACTACTCAATATAAAACCCAACATGACTTGATGATTTGGAGAATAAAAATGAGCGGTGAGCCTATTGTACAAAGAAAGTAAATAAATAATTAAGCAAACTCAAATCCAAAGACAGAATCTTCTTCAAATACATACACAAGTCTAGTTTTTCAGCTATTAAGTTAGTATATTTGATAAGTTGCTGTTAGAAAGAACATATATTCGCACCCTAAGCAAAATCTACATACTCTCAACACAACCATGAAACAGAAAGAAGCAGCATGCCTATTCCTAAAATCGAAATTGCAACAGAGGAGCAAAGATGCATCACAATTCATGCTCTTCTACAAATAAATCATACCCGGGACATGAAATCAAGGAGAGAGAGAGAGAGAAGACTCTGAATTCTGTTGGATTTCCTATCTAATCAATTTTTTTAATTAAATTATAATAAGAGTTTGGCTTCTTCATCTCCAATTTAAACTCACACCGTACTAAGGTCCCGATAGTAATTCAACACCAAAGTTTCGATCTTTTTACAAAATGAGAGAAGCAAAATAAGGAACTTACTTCGCTTATGAATAGCCTCTTGCAGATCAGCTACTGTAGCCTACAAAACAACCAAAAGAGACAAACTTACAAATCAAAACCCACAGTTCTTTGTCCTGGATTTTCATATCAATCAAACATACTAGTAATAAATACAAAATAGAAAATGTGCACCAAGCATACCGAATCACTGAGCTCAAGGCCCCCTTTAGTGACCTCTCTACCACTGCGAGAAACTACAGTCACCTTCATTTTAAAGATCAAATGAGAGCGACCCAGTTCACGAAAAGACAGAAGAAGAAGAAGAAGAGGAAGCAACCCCTGTGAATTTGAAAGGATTCTGTTCAGGATGCAAATGGGATTTGGTACTTCGATCTCTCCGTAAAACAAAATATAGAGCTGGCAGTGTAAGCAAGTACTTGTGTATTAAAGGAGTTTGGTTGGGGCAGGAGAGCTAACCATATGGATTGATGAACTGCACACCCTCCCTCATTGATGATGCATGTAGGTTCCTATCACGAATTCGTTTATCGATAGGGGTTATTGATTGTGGGCCAGTGTTGAATGTTGATCGTCCCCGTTCTTGCCATCTCAGCTTTTAAGTAATCGGACGGTGGATTTTTATAATAACGTTGTTCACCAATTTTTAACGCCCTTTTCTTCGTAGTTGTCGGATCAAGGACTGACATCCTGAAATAAGTTATCCATTTAAAAATAAATTTAATTAGATTGAGTTTTACTATGTAAATTAATGTTTTGTTTATTTTTATATTTTTAAAGTATTTAAAAAAATATTTATTTTTATTTTTATTTTAAATTAATATTTTTTTAATATTTTTATATCATTTTTAATGTTTTGATATTAAAAATAATTTTTAAAAATAAAAAATTATTTTAATACATTTTAATATAACAAATAATTTAAAAAATACTCACATATTTTCAAATACATTTTTATAGTTGATTTTTCTAAATTTTACTTCATTAATATTTTTTTATTTAATTTAATTTAGCAAATCAAGAATTTTTTAAATTATTGAAGTTGAGTCTAATACCATGTCTTTTCTTATGCAGCTAAAAGATATGGTTAAAAAAAAGAAGTTAATTTTAATGCTTAGCTTATAATTTTATAATTTATTTGAAAATAAGGTAGAAATTATTTTTAAAAATATTTTTTATTTAAAATAATATTTTTTTATTTTTAACACTATCATGTCAAAATAATTAAAAAATATTCTTTTAATTATTTAAAAAATCAAAAATTTTAAAAAATATGATTTTACCGCAATTTCTAACAGCACCTTCATCCAGTTAGGTATACTTTCTTAGCCATTCAGGGGCGGGGCATGAATTGGAAGATAAGCACGTTCTTATATTTGAACGCGCTTCTAGAGTAACCAATGATTAATACGATAGCTAACCTTGCACGACTCCTGTGGTAAAAGTAAAAAAAGAATAAACAAAATAATATAATAATAAATTTAAAGGGTGAATCCGTTCTGTGTCTTTCCTTTTTATTTTTTCATCGTCTTCATCACCTGTTGCGGTGCTGCCATCTTTGCTGCGGTGCTGCCATCATTGCTGATAGCCAAGATTTCATCACCATATTTTTTTATTAAAAAATACTAGATAAAAAAAAAATATATATAAATTTTTTTGAAATATAAATATATCCATATAAAAATATGTTAGGTTTGACCCTAACACAACTATATTTAAAGTTGGTAATGCATCAAGTCTTGAATGTTAATATAATACTAATCAAACTAAGTTATATTTGTGCTTGGTAGTATATTAAATTTCAGGTGCGATAAATCCGGTACTATCATTTAGATTATATCAAGATATATAATCTTTAATAGAAATATAAATTCTTTAAATATAAATAATTTATTTAAAATGACTTTTTATTTTCTTCAAATAATGGTTTAAAATCCTTAACACTTATTAAAGGAATATGCAATTCTCTTATAAAAGAATAGATGTAGTTTCCCTAGTATTGTATGCATCAATCTCTAAAAAATAGATATAAATAATTTTTCTAATGCTATATACATTAATCTTTAATTCATGGATAGATGTGATTTTCTCAGTACTATATGCATTAATCTCTAAAGAATGAATATGATTATATATAGTGCTATATGCATCAATTTTCAAAGAATAAACATAGTTTTTTTAGTGTTGTACATATCAATCTTCAAGTGATGAACATGATGGATATATATAGTCTCTCTAATATTATATGCATCAATCTCTAATAAATTGATAAATATAAACTCTATAGTGATTTATGTAACCATTTTAGGTGGATAAATATGATTGCCCCAATACTACATGCATCAATTTCTAAGGATAGATGCAATCTTTCTCATGATAATATATCAACCTCAAAGTGATGGATATGATCTTCGTAGTGTTATATGCATCAATTTTCAAGGAATAAATGTGATCTTCCTTGTGTTACATGCACAGATCTTATCTTTAAGGGAAGAGCAGTAATCCCTCAAATTACCAAGGGACGAACTTATCTTCCTTGCCATTTGCACAACTTTATCTCCTTAATATAATAACCTCATTTTTTAAAAGATAAACTTGGTTTTCCTAGTATAATAACAATATCATTCAATCATTACTCTTTAATGAGGGACTCTTATCTTCCAATGATAATGCTGGAAAAGCTATAGGCTCTCATTATAATTACTTAGAAATTTAAAAGTATAATTTCACCCTTTGTGTGTTTCACAAACTCATTTAGAAATTTATATAGATAATGATCATGACATCCTTGATCTCTTATAATTTTTCTAAATATAAATTCTTAGTATTTTATGTCTAAAAGAGTTTTGTTTACTCTAGATGAATATTTTTTTTTGTACTTTTTGTAACTTACACCCTTTTCTATACAAGCAAAACTCATCTCTCTACCTAAACTAAAAAATTAATTAAAGTCTTCGCATATTATTATACTGCAGAGATTGTAGGACTAGTGATGAACCAAGATTTCATCGGTATATTTTTATTAAATAACACTGAATTAAGAAAAACTTATAAGTATAAATTTTTTGGTAGCATAAAGCCCCCAATAAAGATGTGTTAGGTATAAAGCTAGCCAGATCTATTCATGGTTGGGCTTGGCAATATGCCAAGCCCTAAGCATTAGACTTATCCATAATTAGGTATGACAGTGTGTCAAGCTCTAAGCACAATAGGTCTAATGCTAGCCAAACCTAGCTACAAATAGGCGTGATAGTGTGCCAAGATCAAGATGCAATAGGTCTAATGCTAAACTCAACCACATATGAGCTCAATAATACGCCAAATACAGGCAAATTAATCCTGGCGCTAGCTAAACTCAGGAGATGATTGAGTTTAACACTATTGATTCTATATATTTTTATATAAAATCATATAGTGATCATTTCTTAATAAATAGGTTTAATTAAATAAGTCTTTACTCCACCAAGACTATTAAATGTATTAAAATCTTTTATAGCCAGTTAGATCATCATTTTTTAACTAGATGAAATGAGTGGAATACAACTCATAGTATAACTTAAAATATCACAATATTAAAATTACACTTCAGTCTTTCATCTCCATAAATAAATAATACTTATGAGTTATAAATACACCATAAAACCTTTAAAATACATTTTCATAATTTTCATTCTTTGCTACATTTATATTTTGAAAGTATCTTTATCTAAAATATTATTATATTTTCTCATTGTAAAAAGATATTTATTTAAGCATGTAGAGTCCTCATTTTCATCAAATAGGATATTTTTTAAGAATTAGCCACATGCTATATTGGCCCACTAAAAATCAAATACAACCTATTAATCACCTTGACCAATAGTAATTAATAAGATTGTTAGGACTGATTGATTAACTAATTATCTAACTCATGAGCCTTATTTCTTGGCTAATTAAATTTTTAGTGTTAGATAGAATAATATATAAATCATATATTACAACATCACCTAATAGTTTAAGTTTTTAAGTTCAATTGTTAAGTTTTTGGGTTGAATTGGTTCTTTAACATGATATCAGAGTCTTAATAACCAAGCAGTCATGAGTTCGTAACATGATATCAGAGTTTTAATAACCAAGCGGTCATGAGTTCGAATCGTACCATTCTTATTTATTTGATAAAAAATAAACAAAGAGTAGTGTGAATCCATAAAAGTTTTAAACTTAATTCATTTTTATTTAAAAAGATGTGTCAGAGAATAATATAAAATATATTTTAAAATTTTATTTAATAACTTAAATTATTAAATTAAAATAATTCTTTAATATATGAAACTTCATCATTTACCTTGTATTTTAGCTAAAAAATAAACCAAGTTTATACTTAATTTTTTTCACTTTAGATGACCAATACGTGTGTCGATTCGCACTTCATAACAAAATCCAAGTAAGAATTACTTCGAGAATGGTAAAAACCTTGACACTATTCATTTATTTGTTACCCTTTTCAACATATTTTAATGGAAAATCCTGTTGGGTAATTTGAAGATCTGCAAGTCCAAAAGAATATAAACAACATCTTTATACACCAAGTAAAAAATTATTACAGAATAGAGATGGAGAGAGATCAATAACTCTTTTGATCAATAAACTCAACTTTCATAAAGTTTCTGGTATTTTACACGCTTATTAGCCACGGTGGAGGGAAGACCACACATGTTTTTTTTTTCAATCTATTTCTTGTTTTCTTTAAAAACATATAGAGAAAGCATGCTTCATAATTAAAAGGTCTAAAATTATTCTTTTCTCTTCTTTTTCAAATTTGGTTAGTTCATTCCCATATTAACTGTTATATATATATTTTAGACCTAAAAAGGATTATATCCACACCATAATTTTAAAATCTGAATAATTTAAAAATATATATAAATTGGTTCAAGTTAAAAAAAATAAAAAAATTTACCTAACCTGACTAATATACTGAAGAGATAATTGATTTATTCTTGATATTTTTTTTAAAAAAACATTTATTTTACTTTATTTAAAACAAAAAAATTTAGATTAACTTGAATTAATCTTTTTAAATCCTAACCCGCCCGTGTCGATTTTAAAACTATGATGCGGTGACTTGGATATTTTCTTATTTGCTATTTTGTTCGAGTGCAGATCAATTGTCATCCGAACTCCATGTGCTGTCATATTTATTATTAATTATGGTTTGGCGGCCGTTGGCTAGTGTTGGCCGGAAAAGCATTTAAAGTAGTGGGTCCCAATCGCTTACTGGAATTGACTAGTAACTGACTTCCTGTGTTCAGCTGAATTGACATATTTCTTCACACGTGTCTGTTGAATGTTCTGCTAACAACGAACTACTAACCACTGCCAAATATCTCCCACAGCCAAGTAAGAGTGAAGAGCTGTTTATTTTTCATAGAACAACTTTAAATCAAGTCAGATTGCAGACATTTTTTATAAAAACCTTTTTCCTATGTACGCATTGTACGAAAGGGAGAATCAAGAACAGCTAAAATCTCAGGGAGGCATTAATGGTGTAACAAGATTACAACGAATACAGAACATGAAACAGCACCTATAATTCCTTTTCCAAGCACCTGATGGTGCAGCCAAGATTACAAACAACAGATACACAACATGAAGCACCAGCAGTATTTCCTTCACCGCTTCAAGAATTCAGCATTTTGCGCAGCAGTTGCAGCGTAGCTGGTGACTAAACGAAATGCACTTAATCACTGTTTTCGTTCTCAGAGTGAGCATCGGTGGCGAAGGGCATTAATAGATGAGAAATCCTAACTGTTGCCTCTCATCAGTTGCAAAGGGAGTTCATAGAAGAGAAATCTACAATAAGTCACCTGCTTAGAAAAGTGTGAATATTTCGAGCCATGGAAACTCGTGACAAGCTATATGGCCTGTCTGCCTATATCGATTTCATGTTGGATTCCCAGTAAGACTAGGGTATATCCCTAAAACAAATAGAAACAAGAAGAAAAATAAGAGCAATGGTAGGGATGGATACATATTTTTTTAACTAAATCTTTACCATCAGATGCTGCATTTCTTGTGGTGAAGTTTTTCAGATCATGGAGGGTTGGATCTTAACAATCAACGGGGACCTATTATCATCGAATTACATGCAACTATCACAATCGCCGCATCATTCAGTAAAATTGTTGATAAGAAACTTCTATTATATATGGCAATATTCTGAAAATAAAGGCGTCTTTCACAACTTTATAGTGTTCCACTGATCAATCAGCTATGAACGATTAGCAATTGTTCTAACTATGAAATGTTCATACCTTACAACTAGTGGAGATTTTCAAGCCTAATACATATCAAACCAGAACAGCTAAAACCTGCAAGGATGAGAATTCAACATGTTGATAATTGATATATGACCTAACACGAGAATATTCAAATGAAATTATTATCTTTTACCATAGAAATTCCCGAGGTATTTCTTTACCTGGTAGCCAATTTCACAAGCATGGGACCTCAGTTGAAGAAGAAAAAATGAGTTGAACAGGGGTTTCATGGAAGATCTTCCACTGTAAAATCGCACGGGTAACATCTCCCTAATCTAACAAGCTCCCCCATCACAGTCACACTCCACGTCTGAAAAACAACATAGGACCAAAACATATAAAGGAATACAAATGGCATTGCTTTAACTTCTTAAATGAATAGCTTCCACTAGAGAGTTTACCGTCAAAGCAATTTACAGGGAAAACCTAGAGAAGACTTTCCCGTTATTTTATTCTTTGGGTTTTGCTTCTTTAGGATATCATTCTCAACTGTTGCTTGATTATCCATGTAAAATGGGACAACCTCAGATTATTCACCACTTTCCTTATTTCTGCTTGTTTCTCTATCAAAAAAATACTATTTAGCAACCTGACTAGTGGGAAACAGTAGAGCTGCATGTTGTCAGCGAAGCATCATAATTCTTGAGGTCAAGGTGTTAGAAATAAATCGATAAGGATACACAAAAAAATTCAAATTATGGATAATTCCGGAACATCAAGTTATCATCTTTCATGCAATTTTAATAGGACGATAATAGAAGTGTATACGACTTTGTTTTCCTTGATAACCACGCTTTGAGTCGTCATCAAATCTGGAGAGATCCAAAACCATAAAATAAACATTGCATATGCAAGAGAAGACTTAAAATTACAAGGAAAAATCTTTGAACGCCAATGCAACCACGAAAGTAAAATATGCATAAAACTTACTAGGCAAGTCTGCATGTACCCTCATGCTCTGTTTTGAGCACTCTTCCATCACAAAACTCCCTTCTATATCTGCTACTAGGCACAAAACTTCTCTGCATTCACTTCTAGCAACCTCGCCTCGCACTGGACCCTCTCTCCAATCAGCAGAACCACAACTCAAGCTCTTTTTGATCAATAGCTTCACTAATGTAACTTTTCTGACATTTTCGTCACTACTCATATCTGCTTGCAGTACCATTCTGCTGCCAATCTCATCACCTCAGCAACCATATCTTTACGCAACTAACAGTCCTTCTGATTGCTCCACTCCTAAGCCTTCTCGTTCTACATTAACTTCTCCAACCACAATCACCCGCTTTTTGCACGGTTTTTGGAGAAGCTGAGGGATCAGTGCTCATCCACTAAATCTTTTAAATATTTCAATCTCGGTAGTTGCCCATATGCGATTTTTCCCATCCCTAGTATAGTATTGGAACGTAGAGCCATATAATGACCCAATAAACCAAACATTCTTTTAATGATGAATGGTAAACATGCGAGAGAGCAAAGAAAAGGGCCGTTCCACATTTCCAGCCATTATAGTTGTCGAGCACTTAACGCTTCTTCTCACATATGTACAATGCTGTCAATCGAGAAACAAAAAATCATAACGATGAGATTCAGAACAATAGGGTAGGAGATTCTGAGTGTGAAGACCTAATACCCTACGAAGGAGTTGTGAGCATTAGGAGTGCACTGATGTTAGGATCAAGAAATCTATGTCAAACATTCAGAAATAAACGATGATCACATCAATTGGGCCCCTGAACTTTCAAGGGAGTGAATGAGTTCACAACAAAAAATAAAAACAGATGGATTAAACAATCAAAGCACATGGCTGCCTGATGCTTGGAATCATCTGCAACGCACTGTGAATAAAAGGGATAACTCTTTTGATGACCTCTTTAACACAGCTAGAAACTACAATCAACTCCATTTTGGAGATCACATGAAAGAGACCAAATTCATGTAAAGTCGTATAGAAAGCACAAACTTTAAATTTTAAACAATTCTCTGCAAAATTCAGAGAGAGCAGAAAAACATAAACTTCATGGGGAACTTCTAGACCAAAATCTCAAACAGATAGAGTAATGACAGTAGAAATCACATAGCCATAAAGAAAGCGAGTAAGATTGGGTTTGGGGAGAATGTGAACACTAAAGAAAAGCTTGCGGATAAACAACTTTCCAAAGTCATTAATTAATCATGAAAAGATACGTTACATGTTCCACGAGATCAATAGATGGAAAACTACAAGAGCAATTCCACAACTCAAATAAAAAAATTGAACAATTCACTACGCAAGTTTGCAAATATCCTCATATTCAACAGCCTTGAGCACTCTCCCATCATAAATTCCCTTCTCTATCTGCACCTTGGCACAAAACTTCTCTGTATCCACTCCCAACAACCTGGCATTGGAACCTCTATACGCCCCATTCACTATTTTCACTAAACCCCCAATCTGCGGTATCACAGTCTCGAGCTCTTCCTGATCGACCCTCAACTTATGCTTACTCTCAAGCATCTCAATTTCAGCAACATACTTATCAATCACTTTCCTCACTACCCCTTTCTGCTTATAATACCCTTTCTCTGCCAAAGCTTTACTCATTACCTTAACAATAATACCTTCGAATAACCAATAATCCTTCCTGTTACTCCTTTCCTTGGCCTTCTCTTCCTCTTTCATCAACTCCTCCAATGCTGATTTCCCACTTTTACCTCCATTGCTACTTTCCTTACTTCTCCCCGTCTTCCTCTCCTTGTCCTCAACTTCCTCAAAAACCAGTCTAGAACTAGAACTCTCCCCTCTATCTTTCCCAACATTATTACTCTTCAAACCAAGCGCGAAACCAACCTTCACACCACTGTCCAATTTCAACTCCTTGGCTGGCCGCACTTCACCATTTTCTACATCACCTCTCTCCACACCATCATTGTTAACAGTAAACAACTCTCCAGCCTTCTCGATCTGCTTCTTAATCTCCCTCTCTTGCTTCTCCTCTTCGGCCAAATCCGCTCTAACTCTCTTATTCTTCATGCTCTCCTTGAAAATCGTCTCTGAGTCCCTATCAATATAAGTAATGAACCACCCTTTGGGCGTTTCCTCAACTTTACACTTTCCAGTTCTCCCAAGATACTTGACAAATTCCGTCAACGTCGCCCACTGCGTCGAGTTCATATGAATATGATGCCTATCATGAATATACTCATTATAAACCACGGTCGCCGCGACACGAGAAAACCTATGGCTCCGTTTCATCATGTCAAGGAATTCGTTTTCGAATTCTTCAGAGTAGCCGTCGATGATTCTGTTAGGGTTTTGACCGAAGACTTGCATTTGCCGCTGGTGGCTCTCGCTCATACAGTGGCACTTGAAACCGTTCTCGTCTCGACATTGTTTCTGACACATTTGACAGTACCATCGGAGTTTTTGAAGACCTTTCGCTTTGATTCGATTCGCGATTGCTTTCGGTGTGAGGAAATCGTTCTTACCCATTTTTTAGGGTTTGATAAATTGAATTGCAATCGGAATTAGAGAATTACCTAGAAATTTAATAAAAAAATAATAAAACACAAATTAGTTTTTCTTCTAGAAGAAAACTAAAATTAAAATTAAGCACTTTACCTCTAAATCTAAAAGCGAATAATATTGGGGGGGCAAGAAGAAGAAGCAAGGTTGATAAAAAGAAACCGACCGGGCTTAGGATTTTTAGAACGCGGAAGTTAACTCGCATACCTGCGCGTCGGTTTGAAAAAGGCTAATTTGTGAAAAGATCCCTGAGAGTTTGATCAAACCCAATTTTACCCCTGATTTCTCATTTGTTTTATTTTGGTCCCTTATACATGACGTCAAAAATCCCAGATTTAAATTTATTTTGGCTTGTTTTGTCTCGTGTGTACTGGAATTTGTTGTATTTGGACTGGGTCTTGTTCAAAAGAGCCTCTACCGCATACACTGAAGATACCTACTGCATGTTTGACAAATTGTCTATAAGGGTCAATATTTGCTCCCTGTATTGTTTGAGAAAACTCATTTTTCTTTACCCTTTTGCCTTGTTATAGAAAGCCTTCTGTGTCGAGTTTCTGTGCTTGGGATTCGATTAATAATTCTTGGTCTTGCTGGAATCTTGTTCCTCTGTTTATCCAAATCTTCTTTTCTGTTAGCAAATTTTGTTCGTTTAGTTACTCGTAAAAAAATTGTTAAATTGTAATTAGGTTCTCAGTTATTATATATATATAGAACAAGTTTGCAGAGGCAATGGACAAGATAGTGATGGTTATGGAGGATGATAGGGAGATTTGAAGCCGACTTGATGAGCACCGTGACAAATAATAGAAATAAAGATTTAAATGTATCGGTGATCCGTTTGATGTTTCCGTTCCACGAGGAATTTTGAGGCTCGAATTGAGTTGAGATGGTGGCAGAGAGAGTTGAGGTGATGGCGATAGGTGGTGAAGATGGTGTTCGGTTGTGCTGACAGCAGTGAATTACTCCACCATTGAAATATTTTCTGAAGCCACAAAGAGATTTTCCGAAGAGAGGCAAGGGGGAACTAGTTTCACTTTTCAGGAGGACATTATAGTTATTGTTGATGGGTGCATGATTAAGATAATAATAATAATGATAAGGCCACAGCCTCGGTTGGGCTGCTAGCGAGCCCAACTGGATCTCCCTCCTATCTTTTTTATAGGCACCTTTTTGTTTTTTTGTGTTTTTTTACTGTTATTTATATGTTTTTTGACTTGCTATCTTAAAATATTTGTATCTTGAGTTATTTTCATAACTTAATTCAATATTTGAAAATATTAGGTTGATGTAATTCGTTAATATAATATTAGAGATTTGTTAATGAATTCAAAGCTAATTTTATCATTCTAATTAATAAAAATTAAATATAAAATGGTGTATGATTATACAAATTTATAATCCAAAAAATTTAACTTATTAAAAATAAAATATTAAAAATAATTTTATATTATTTTTTATCTTTCTCTCATCCATAAACCCGTCTTTATTTTTCATCAATAAATTAGAGCTCCAAAAATTATTTTTACATCACTCTCTCTAGTCCATGTAAATGCTAAACATACAGAAGATATATTTGTTTTGTGAAAAATAATTTTGTATTTTTCTGACAAGCAAACATTATAAAATTGTCAATAAAAAGATTTATTAGAGATTAGTATTTTTTTAATGTCATGAAAGGGAAAAGTAATTTTCACAAGATTAATAGATTGCTCGAAACCCATTTAAATCATTCTCGTTTGTTTTTATATTTTAAAAGGATTTTTATTTTATATAATCGGGGCCTTGATGAATACATCTTTGAATAGATCTCATGGCATCATAAAATATTCGAGAAATATAGTGCTCTGGAAGATAATAGACAAACTTGGGGTTGGTTGATTCTTAAGCTAGTAGCATTTAGGGAATAAATCATTGGTCTTGTTTTCTCTGCTAATTACATAGGCACAGCTACGTCAATCTAATGACATAAGCCCGTGAACGAGATCGATTGAGACCATTCACGCCATCATTTCAGGGAAAGTATAGAACTGTATACAAAATACGAGTTCCTGTAGCATTTTTCAGGTGCAAGAAACCTTGAGAATAAATTGTGTATAAAATTATTTTTTAATGATTTTCCTTATATTTAAGCTCTTACTGAATAGTGATAACACAAGGAACCAGCCAATAACCAGACTAACCTCCTAAAGATACCCATTCAATTTTAAAAAAAATCTGTAATTTTTGCACGTTCAAACCTTCTTGATTTATTTCTGATTTATTTCCACATACAATCGACTTCCGTTCAGCGATCATAATTTAATTTTTTAGCTGTGAATGCATTCCTGAACATGGGGGTTGAGATGATCCAAATCACAAGAGAGCTTATCAACTCAAGGTCCATCAATGATTACATATTTAATGCATAATAATTCTGTCTTTTTTAGCTGTGAATGCATTCCTGAACATGTGGGTTGAGATGATCCGAATCACAAGAGAGCTTACCAACTGAAGGTCCATCAATGATCACATATTTACATGTGGGTTGAGATGCATAATAATTCTGTCTATTTCAGAATTTTTACAAGATGTAGTTTATAAGTTAGTTCACCCATCCTAGTTATATTTTATGAATAAACAATAAAATAATTAATCAAATTACACACAACTAGCAATAGAGGTCATTTCTTCCCTTTCATTAATATTTTACTTGTTTGAATAAACATCCAAGCGTAATGGAATAGATCAAAGCCAATGTCGTCGTAATATATTAGGCTGGCCCATCTCCTTACGATCAGGTAAAATACAAGGAAGGAACCTTTAATAAACACACTACATTGCTGTGCACGCTTGCGCGGTTCGATTTCTTAGTGAAATATAAATTTCAGCTGTGTTGAAAAGCAACCAGATAAAATGGAATCAAAAATTAAATTTATAAATGTTAATTAATCAGTGAATTGAATTAATATAATAAAAAATTGATTGACCAAAAAACACGCAATATGCTTAAGCTCAATATAATTTCTCAGTCGCTACGATATTCCACCCCACTAAAAAAAAAGAAGAAACCACCCTCAATTCCAGGATGTTTCCTTTGTAGGTCGGTTAATTACCTATCTATATAAGCCACATGCATTAAGAGGAGGCTCTTCACTTCGAACCAAAAACCAAACTGCTCCTGTATACAAACATAAACGCTCACCATCCTGGGTATCAAAGAGGTGCTCGTGGTTTCTAAAGCCTGCCGTGGGAGCCAAGACTAATTCATTACAGATCCTAGCGGGAACATTTCGGTAAGATAATATTTTATCTGCTTGGTATTTATTTATTACGATTAATAATTCATGTGTGTTTTTTAATATATTTTTATGTACTTCGCATTTAGTGAAATCAATCCATGTATGATTCTTGTTTTATTCAACGAGTGGTCTAATGGTTCCGCACTCTGCCTAGTTCCATCCCCGCTTTTCTCTTTCTTTTCCCGAGGATTACATCTCCGAAAAAGGCAACAAGCCAGGTGTCTGATGATCACAAGATGAATATCATTTGTTAGCCTACTCTGAAATTCACGCATACTCACTCGCTCTCTTAATTCATAAACAATATCTTTGTTGTTGAACGGGTAGTCTACGTACTTTTCTTTCTTTCTCCTCTTTTCATTTCAATCTGGAAACATATTCTCTTATAAATATAGCTTAATTTCGGATAAAAACATCAATATTATTTGGTGATCAATTCTTCTTCTTTTTTCGGTTTGGGTCTATTGAATTTCACACAACACTATACGTGTTTTATTACGCACTTACTTGAGATTAATTGAGCAGATTTATTTTGCTTCAACAGATATGGGATTAATTACCAAGATTAAACATTCGAGTCATAGCGAACATTTTCTCTTGTTGAAGTATCCACGACAGCCTTATGAATGTAACGGATCCAAAGTACTGGGGCTTGGCCCATGCTACGAATGCGAGCACGAAGACTGCAGCTTCTATCTTCACGAGGAATGCGCAAATGCTACTCCATGTGCCTTCCATTCATTTTTAAAGTGCACCTTGAGATTTTACTCCAGGGCCCCACAAGGGGGTGGAAGATTCTGTGACGCTTATGGACAAGATGTATTAGGGTTCGTGTACCAGTGCAAACATAATAAGATTGACCCACACGATTACCATCCCAGCTGTTTAAAGCTCCAGCGTAACTTAACAGCTGAAGATGGCACGAGGTTACACCTGAGGAAGAAGCTGCCATCGAAATGCTTAAACTGTGGAAGTAGAAAAACTTCGAACGGAATCAAAGGCTGGTCCTATGTTTCTTCCTGTGGTCAATATTGTTACCATGTAGCATGTGTGAAGGACATGATCTTGAAGAAGTGGAAAAAGGGTTATTTCCTTCAAGATGGCAATGTGAATGAGACAGATAATTACCTAGCACTTCAAAGTGCCCTCCCAAGTAGAGAACTAGAACTCCCAAGTGGGAAAAGTTCAAGCAAGGCCAAGAATAGATGGAGAAAGGCAAAGAAAGCTATTATGCTTATTATTTCTGCTTTGTTTGGAGATCCTTCGACTCTGATTTCATTGTTTGTTCAACAGTTGCTCTCTGATTAAAGCGTAATACAGGCCTCATCGATGATTTTGCTTTCGTTTATAGCTATATTCTTGAAATTAATGTTTGTTTGAGTGCCAATGCTATCTATGTATCCTCTTTTTTTTTCATGTATATTGTTTCTCTGTGTATAGGTTTTTCCTGAAGATTGTGTTTCTCAAACGGTTCTAAAAATTAATATTGTAATTAAGTATCCATGTAAGATTTCAAGGAAAGGCTAGCTAAGCATGCCATGTATAATGTTTTTCAGTGGACATGTAACTATACATGTCAGATTCTAAAACATATTGCATATAAGTCTACTTAATCTGTCATGAACATCTCTTTCTGAAACATTTTGTTATAGTTATGTCGAACGGATTACTAACCACAAAGCACATAAAATTAATATAGGAGGTCTCACTTGTTATATAGAACTATTGCGCTCTTCTGTTAGTGATATACCTTGATTTAAAACTATCTATGTGCATGAAATTTCCCCACATTTGCGTCCTCTCTCTTTGCGTCACAAGGCAGCTCGTATAGTATATATGATAGGCCGGCCAGTTTCCCACAGTATGATCTTCACACTACACCTATCCATCTACAAACAAAAGTAAACGACTTTTTCTAGAGAATAAACGTTTAATGTAGTTAATCAAATAATACTCCACTCTTTGAAAATATTTAAATGAATCAATCTTGATTGTATGCCGTTCATGAGAGAATCGACAGTAATACTGTTTAAAATTATAAATATCATCATGTATTTGCGGTGCACAAGCGACCTGCAAATCAATAATCAAGCCTATTATTATATAATTTGTTCATCGAGTGTTGATCTGCAATATTATATTCATTTTCATAGGAATTTACGCTTTCCAAATATTGGTATGGTTAAGTATCGAAAATTCCATGTGAAATGGGTAGAAATGCTTAGAGTTTTTATGCAACACAACCGGCTTTTTTTTAATAAAAAATATGAAACTCGTTAAACTAAAATAAAAAAACTTCTACTTCTAGATCAAAAGTCAACTAATATTTAAGAAGATTCTTCGGAGATATAGATAGAAACGGACATACATGCATGTCGTATTAAGGGCCGGTGCTCTAAAAATATACAATGAAAATTTTTAATTAAAACTAAACATTTAGAATTTAGATTCAAAATAGAAAAAATATTCTACAAGTGTACAAACAATTGATTCGATAGTCCACCAATAAATAACGTCGCTATCACTTTGATCACTTACTCGGTATTTCTTTTTACAAATAGGAGATTTGAAAGCTAATTTTTTAATTTGTAATTCGTGTAAAACAATTATTGAACACAAAAGTCTATGAAAGATCATACAATAATACAAAAGGCAATAAAAAAATCAAAAGATAACCTTAAATTAAGTAAATATCAGACCAATATTCAAATACTGTTAAAAAAAAAACATTAGATTTAGTAATACAATTTTAGATACGAGATTATTGCAGACAAAATGGACAGTTAAGGAAAAACCGAAGCCAATCTTAGTCACAACAAGCTTTACTTTATCATTTAATTCTATCATGTGATGTGGTATATATCATCGCATGATTTGACCATCTGAAATTCCTGGATGGAGGCAAATCAGCTTGAAATGAATTGCGTCTGTAAGCCTGCCTCGCAACCCTCCAACTCGTGGCTCACCAGTTAATACTTGCTTTATATATAAGCTAAATTAACCCCCCAAGGCATGGCTTCCCAGTGATTGATATTTAGTTGAGTGCAACGTCCAGCAATAACAAGACAAGCAAGGTTTTTTTACTTGAAAACAATGACTCGTCCTTTAGTACAAGTGTAAAGTGCAGAAAAAGCGCTTTTTTCTTCGGTTACTACACACTTGCGTGTTAGTTGACATGGATAATAATTTTCAAATCACTCATTTTGATACTGTTCTAGCTAAAACACATTTTATTTCAGAGTTCTTAGAAGATCTCGGGTATAAATTAGTTAACCCATCCTAAATATATTTTATGAATAGGCAATAAAATAATTAATTAAATTACGCACAACCAGCAATAGAGGTCATTTTTTCCCTTTCATTAATACTTCACTTGTTTGAATAAACATCTTAGCGTAACGGAATAGATCAACGCCAATGTCGTAATATATTAGGCTGGCCCATCTCCTTATGAGGTAAAATACAGGGAAGGAACCTTTAAGAAACACATTACATTGCTGTACACGCTTGCGCGGTTCGATTTCTTAGTGAAATATAAATTATAATCCACCCTCAATTCCAGGATATTTCCTTTGTAGGTCGGTTAATTACCTATCTATATAAGCCACATGCATTGAGAGGAGGCTCTTCACTTCGAACCAAAAACCAAACTGCTCCTGTATACATACATAAACGCTCATCATCTTGGGTATCAAAGAGGTGCTGTAGTTTGTAAAGCCTGCCGTGGGAGCCAAGACTAATTCATTACAGATCCTAGCGGGAACATTTCGGTAAGATAATATTTTATCTGCTTGGTATTTATTTATTACGATTAATAATTCATGTGTGTTTTTTAATATATTTTTATGTACTTCGCATTTAGTGAAATCAATCCATGTATGATTCTTGTTTTATTCAACGAGTGGTCTAATGGTTCCGCACTCTGCCTAGTTCCATCCTCGTTTTTCTCTTTCTTTTCCCGGGGATAACATCTCCGAAAAGGCATACAAGCCAGGTGTCAAATGATCACAAGATGAATATCATGTGTTAGCCTACTCTCAAATGCATGCATACTCGCTCTCTTAATTCATAAACAATATCTTTGTCGTTGAATGGGTAGACTACGTCCTTCTCTTTCTTTGTCCTCTTTTCATTTCAATCTGGAAACAAATTCTCTTATAAATATAGCTTAATTTCGGATACAAATTTCTCTTATAAATAAAGCTTAATATTCGGATAAAAACATAATATATTATTTGGTGATCAATTCTTCTTCTTCTTTCGGTTTGGGTCTATTGAATTTCTCACAACACTATACGTGTTTTATTACGCACCTGCTTGAGATTAAATGAGTAAATTTATTTTGCTTCAACAGGTATGGGATTAATTACCAAGATTAAACATTCGAGTCACAGCGAACATTTTCTCTTGTTGAAGTATCCACGACAGCCTTATGAATGTAACGGATGCAAAGTACTGGGGCTTGGCCCATGCTACGAATGCGAGCACGAAGACTGCAGCTTCTATCTTCACGAGGAATGCGCAAATGCTACTCCATCTGCCTTCCATTCATTTTTGAAGTGCACCTTGAGATTTTACTCCAGAGCCCCGCAAGGGGGTGGAAGATTCTGTGACGCTTGTGGACAAGATGTATTAGGGTTCGTGTACCAGTGCAAACATAATAAGATTGACCCACACGATTACCATCCCAGCTGTTTAAAGCTCCAGCGTACCTTAACAGCTGAAGATGGCACGAGGTTACACCTGAGGAAGAAGCTGCCATCGAAATGCTTAAACTGTGGAAGTAGAAAAACTTCGAACGGAATTAAAGGCTGGTCCTATGTTTCTTCCTGTGGGAAATATTGTTATCATGTGGCATGTGTGAAGGACATGATCTTGAAGAAGTGGAAGAAGGGCTATTTCCTTCAAGATGGCAAAGTGAATGAGACGGATAATTACCTAGCACTTCAAAGTGCCATCCCAGGTAGAGAACTAGAACTCCCAAGTAGGAAAAGTTCAAGCAAGGCCAAGAAAACATGGATCAGAAAGGCAAAGAAAGCTATTATGCTCATTATTTCTGCTTTATTTGGAGATCCCACGACTCTGATTTCAGTGCTTGTTCAACAGTTGCTCTCCGATTGAAGCGTAATACAGGCCTCATCGATGATTTTGCTTTCTTTTATAGCTAGATTCTTGTAATTAATGTTTGTTTGAGTACCAAAGCTATCTATATATCTTTGTTTTCGTATGTATTGTTTCTCTGTGTATAGGTTTGTCCTGTAGATTGCTTTTCTCAAAGGGATATGAAAATTAATATTGTAATTAATTATCTATGTAAGATTTCAAGGAAAGACTAGCAAAAGCATGCCATGTATAATATTGTTTTTCAGTGGACATGTAACCATGCCAGGTTCTAAAACATGTATACAAGTCTACTTAATCTGTCATGAATGTCTCTTTCTATAACATTTTTATAGTTATGTCGGATGGATTCCTAACCACAATCTCTGTGCATGAAATTTGCCGACATTTGCATCCCCTCTCTTTGCGTCACAAGGCAGCACGTACAGTATATATGATAGGCCGGCCAATTTCCCACAGTTAGATATTCACACCACACCTAAGATCCATTTATAAACTCTTTGAAAATAAACTTTTAATTATTAGTGTAGTTAATCAAATAACACTCCACTCTTTGACAATATTTAATCCAGTCAATCTTGATTACATGCCGTTCATGAGAGAATCGATAGTACTACTGCTTAAAATTAATTATAAATATCATCACGTATTCGCGGTGCACGAGAGACCTAAAGATCAATAATCAAGCTTATTATTATATAATTTGCTTATCAAGTGTTGCCCTGCAATAGAAAGAAAATATTATAGTGATTTTCCTTCGAATTTATGCTTTCGAAATAAGAGTGATTAAGTAAGTATCGAATATTCCATCTGACTTGGGTAAAAATGCCTCGAGTTGATATGCAACACTGTTCATGCACGCATCAAGTCACAACCGACTCTTTTTTTAATAAAAAATACAAAACTGTAAAAACTTATTAAAATCGAAATTAACAAAAAAAAAATCTACTTTAAGAAGATCCCTTGAAAATATAGATAGAAACGGGCATACATGTCGTATTAAGTTGACTAAATCTCTCGATGATGCTTAACATTCCCATGGACATGGGCATGGACAGTGTTGCCTCTCAACCCTCCAACTCGTGGCTCACGAGTCAGTACTTGCGTTATATGGAAGCTAATTTGCCCCCCAAGGCACGGCTTCCCTGTGATTGATATTTATCTTTGTATTTCTTTGTTGCTTATATGTCAGGTCCATGTCCATGTCCACGGGAATATTAAGCATTTTCGTTACATTATCAACCCAAATTAAAAAATATAAAATGGTTTCCTATATATATTTCAATTATGACGACTGAAAGTTGAGAATCTTTGAACATGTTGGTTTGTAAAATTTATAAATTAATTTTAATTAATCTGTATATTAAATTAATGTAATAAAAATCGGATTGACCAAAAAACACGCAATATACAAGCTCAATATAATTTCTCAGTAGCTACGATACACTCCACCAAAGAAACCACCCTCAATTCCAGGATGTTTCCTATTTAAGTCGGTTAATTACCCATCTATATAAACCACACGCCCTCAGAGGAGGCCCTTCACTTCGAATGAAAAACCAAACTACTCCTGTATACTGTATACATACATAAACGCACATCATCTTGGGTATCAAAGAGGTGCTCGTGGTTTATAAAGCCTGCAGTTGGAGCCAAGACCAATTCATCAGAGATCATCCTAGCGGGAACATTTCGGTAAGATAATATTTTATCTGCTTGGCATTTATTTATTACGATTAATAATTCATGTGTGTTCTTTTAATATAATTTTATGTACTTCGCGTTTAGTGAAATCAATTCATGTATGATTCTTGTTTTATTCGACGAGTGGTTTAATGACTTCGCACTCTGCATCCCTAATTGCACCCCCGCTTCCCCTTTTCTTTTCTCGAGGATAACATCTCCGAAAAAGGCATACATGCCAGGTGTCTGGTGATCACAAGATGAATATCATGTGTTAGCATACTCTCAACCACGTCTCCAAAAATCATGACGTGATGCTAAAAAAAATTTAAAATTTATAAAGTAATTCTCGAGTTGAGTTTAGATTAAGGCCTATATTTTTTATAAAAATATATAATAATTAAGATTTTATTCACTTATTTGCATCCATAAAATATATTTTTTTTTAAAATAAGATTTCTTCAAATTCAAAAAAGAAAATCTCAAATACGCGGCTAGAGACTCGCTCTCTTAATTCATAAACAATATCTTTGTTGTTGAACGGGTAGTCTACGTACTTTTCTTTCTTTCTCCTCTTTTCATTTCAATCCGGAAACAATTTCTCCTATAAATATAGCTTAATTTCGGATAAAGACATAATATATTATTTGGTGATCAATTCTTCTCTTTTTTCGGTTTGGGTCTATTGAATTTCACACAACACTATACGTGTTTTATTACGCACTTGCTTGAGATTAATTGAGCAAATTTATTTTGCTTCAACAGATATGGGAATTTCCACGATTAAACATGCCAGTCATAGCAAACATCTTCTCTTGTTGAAGTATCCACGAGAGCCTTATGAATGTAACGGATGCAAAGTACTTGGGCTTGGCCCATGCTACGAATGCGAGCACGAAGACTGCAGCTTCCATCTTCACGAGGAATGCGCAATTGCTACTAAATCAGCCTCCCATCCATTTTCAAATTGCAGCTTGACATTTCACTCCAGAGCCCCGCAAGGGGATGAAAGATTGTGTGATGCTTGTGGACAAGATGTATTAGGGTTCGTGTACCAGTGCAACCATAATAAGAACCCACACGATTACCATCCCAGCTGTTTAAAGCTCCAGCGTACCTTAACAGCTGAAGATGGCACGAGGTTACACCTGAGGAAGAAGCTGCCATCGAAATGCTTAAACTGTGGAAGTAGGAAAACTTTGAACTCAAAAATCAAAGGCTGGTCCTATGTTTCTTCCTGTGGGAAATATTGTTACCATGTAGCATGTGTGAAGGACATGATCTTGAAGAAGTGGAAGAAGGGCTATTTCCTTCAAGATGGCAAAGTGAATGAGACGGATAATTACCTAGCACTTCAAAGTGCCATCCCAGGTAGAGAACTAGAACTCCCAAGTAGGAAAAGTTCAAGCAAGGCCAAGAAAACATGGATCAGACAGGCAAAAAAAGTTATTATGCTCATTATTTCTGCTTTATTTGGAGATCCCACGACGCTGATTTCAGTGCTTGTTCAACAGTTGCTCTCCGATTAAAGCGTAATACAGGCCTCATCGATGATTTTGCTTTCTTTTATAGCTAGATTCTTGTAATTAATGTTTGTTTGAGTACCAAAGCTATCTATATATCTTTGTTTTCCTGTGTATTGTTTCTCTGTGTATAGGTTTGTCCTGTAGATTGATTTTCTCAAAGGGATATGAAAATTAATATTGTAATTAATTATCTATGTAAGATTTCAAGGAAAGACTAGCAAAAGCATGCCACCCCGCTTGCCGGCGGTACCTTGATCTATCAAAGCGCTAGTTTTTACGTCAAATATAGACTTCAGATTTTTCATCAAATAATTTATTTGGACAGAAAACTAAAATTGACCGTTACAAGTATGAGTACGAGCTACGCTAGATACCATCATCCTATAACACACAAGTAGCGACCTTCCGTCTTCATGGGTAAGTCAGTGTCTTCTGGGACTTCAGCATATACGAGATGTACACAGTACAAATATTGTATATTACACTTGCACCCGTTTTGGGTTAAAATATATACCGGAGGAAAGTAAAAACGACAAATCCGGGGCCTCTTGATTATTATTTTTTTGATTTTTCAATATATACATACACATGTGGTGTTTCCTGTGTTCTTGATGAACTTTTATGGCTCTGGCACTTTCCACCTTTCAGTCTCCTTTTTGTTTGTTTAAAGAAATAACATCTGCATAATTATTAAGAAGAAAAAAAATATTATTTTAATATATTTATAAATAAAAATATTTTAAAAATTAATCATCACCACAGGCGCAATCACTATTTAAATATCTCAACTATTGTATTCCTTCTGTCCAAAGAAAAAGAAATATTAAAAAAATCAAAGAAAATCTGACCACTGCCTCAGTTTCTCAGCAATAGCACCGAAAGGAAATTCGGTGACATTTTTCTTTCAAATATACGAGTAGGAAATATAAAAAGAAAAAGGTACTTTCTCCGCACTTTACACTTGTGCGAAAGGAGGAGTCACAGTTTTCAATTGTTATTTTCCAAGGGAAGAAACCTTCCTTGTCCTGTTCTTGCTGGACGTGGCACCCAACCAAATTTTTTTGATTAGTTTTAAAAATAATTTTTATTTAAATATATATTTAAATAAAAATTATTTTTAAAACTAATCAAAAAAATTTGGTTGGGTGCCACGTCCAGCAAGAACAGGACAAGGAAGGTTTCTTCCCTTGGAAAATAACAATTGAAAACTGTGACTCCTCCTTTCGCACAAGTGTAAAGTGCGGAGAAAGTACCTTTTTCTTTTTATATTTCCTACTCGTATATTTGAAAGAAAAATGTCACCGAATTTCCTTTCGGTGCTATTGCTGAGAAACTGAGGCAGTGGTCAGATTTTCTTTGATTTTTTTAATATTTCTTTTTCTTTGGACAGAAGGAATACAATAGTTGAGATATTTAAATAGTGATTGCGCCTGTGGTGATGATTAATTTTTAAAATATTTTTATTTATAAATATATTAAAATAATATTTTTTTTCTTCTTAATAATTATGCAGATGTTATTTCTTTAAACAAACAAAAAGGAGACTGAAAGGTGGAAAGTGCCAGAGCCATAAAAGTTCATCAAGAACACAGGAAACACCACATGTGTATGTATATATTGAAAAATCAAAAAAATAATAATCAAGAGGCCCCGGATTTGTCGTTTTTACTTTCCTCCGGTATATATTTTAACCCAAAACGGGTGCAAGTGTAATATACAATATTTGTACTGTGTACATCTCGTATATCCTGAAGTCCCAGAAGACACTGACTTACCCATGAAGACAGAAGGTCGCTACTTGTGTGTTATAGGATGATGGTATCTAGCGTAGCTCGTACTCATACTTGTAACGGTCAATTTTAGTTTTCTGTCCAAATAAATTATTTGATGAAAAATCTGAAGTCTATATTTGACGTAAAAACTAGCGCTTTGATAGATCAAGGTACCGCCGGTAAGCGGGGATGACATGATAATATTCTGTGAATAAATGAATGGCGAGTGTGTGTTATTTCGAGGGCCATTTTTTACAGAAACGGAGGTTATTGCAGAGAAAACGGGGCGAATGATGGGCTTGGTTTTCAGCCACACAACCAAGGCTGGGTTTCCGGACCTAGTCTAGACCCAGTCTGGTGCAGCCACATGGCTAGGTTTTCCAGCTGTCTGGGCCCGAGCCTGATAATTATTAGTAGCTAGAATGACAAATTGTTCCGAAGTTTATGTGCTCAATTCTTCTATAGAAAGACTAGACATTAACATAACATTGATTCAGTAAACTGTTTAACAAAGTGAGACTCTCGCCCCCGCAGCTATATGCTTTAAATTAGCCAGAAGGAAACTAGGACAACATATATTACATTGGTGACAAACAAATTCCAAACGAGAACGCGAACGGTGATTTCTTAGGACTTGAACGGAAAATCAAAACACACTATAAACACGAAACTAGGCGCTGATACAATTAAACTTTCTTTGGGAGCGCGTATGATGAGAGAACGGATAATATAGCCGTGCACACAAATCCGAGGAGGAGGAGACTAGCGGATGCATAACCTTTGTTGAAAAACTTATCACCTCCTAGCCCTGCAAATTGTGTCTTCAAGTCTTTTGTCGCTCCAAAAGCCGCAGCAGCACCCGTGGCTAGTATGTACGATACAACCTGCCCAAACACAAAACAAAAGTGTCCAGCCATCATCATGGAAAAAAAAATCCAACTAAGAAATGTACATATCAAAAGGGAATTAGGTGTCAGGCCAGATCTAGTCCTGAGGCTTGCTTCCACCGCGCAGGATTATCTCTCATCAGAATTCAGAGGCTAGTCTGGGCTGCAACTTCCTGGATCTTATGCACTAATAAACGGGCCAGCCTTGGTTTTGAAGAATCAACTTTTATTTTTATTTTTTATCAACGTCATCTTGTTGATTTTATATGAAAACTGGAAACAATCTTGTGTTTCTCAAAAAGTAAATATTCGAAGCAAAACATCTTTAAAAGCACGAGTAATTAACGTAGAATCCCTGAGTAAACGGGCATCGAAAAATCATACTCAAAATTATCTTCTGAATAAATTAGAGTATGAATGTATGGGAGGACAACGGCCGGGCTAGGCCATATGATCAGAGCAGACTCTCCGACAATCATTTAATTCATATCCGTCGTTTTTAGAGTTTTCCTATATTCTCTGTCCATCCCTTTTTAAGTCAATTTAAACATGGAAATCTTCCAATAAAATCGAGGGATCGATCATGTTCTAAACGTTGTACCTTGTCACCATAGAAATCAAACACAAGGTTGCCGTCACCACTTGTCTGGACGCCGTTTCCTTTGACAATATGGTTTAAAGTGAGAGCAATTTGCAAAATTGTGTACGCTAATCCACATGCAATTGCCGCAAGCATGTATCTGCGATTTATAGAGAGTAAGAGATATTAAGAATCACTAAAAAATCGAGTTTAAAAAAGGCAAGAGGAAGAGAACCTGTATAATTATGTATGATAGCATCAATGCTAGTACCTAGCTTGTTATGCACAAATTCTTGCATTGCAAAGCAAATTCTAGCAAGGATCATGTATCCGATCACTTACCGATAAGAATAAATATCCTTGAAGCGGAATTTAAACTCTTCGAAGCCTATTTCTAAGGTGCCAGTATTGGTGGTCAAGATGACAAGTGACACCACAAGGAAAGCAAAAGTGAGGACCCTCAAAAAAAGAGCGGTCATTCGAGAAGCCGTGGATGGTGGTGGGGGGGCGGTCATTCGAGAAGCCATGGATGGTGGTGGGGGGGCGGTCATCTCTCGTTTACTGCAAAATTAATGCTAGCTATAGTATTAATTTCAGTAATTAGCCAATTAAGAAGATAGTGCAATCGATGCTCAACATTCATCTCGATTTATAACCAAGTTGACGGAGGCTAGAGCCACTACAGGGCCATGATTCCATCGTTTACTTTGACTTTTGCATCACCTAGCATACCCAGCTGGTTAACGAGCCCAAGTAGTCAACATAAACATGAGTTTACTTGCACTCAGAATTCGGAATGTAATTAGCTGGCATCGTAACATGCTTGGTTCAATGACCCGAAACAAAACGTAGAGAAGAAGCTCTCCGTTTCCATCAATTGTGTTCATTTTTCCATTCCACGTATCCGCAACTTCGGAGAACATTACCACCATTTTTCAATCCTTCAATGAAATAGAATCTCATATAGAATTAATCTAGACGTCTTAAAAAACTTGTGCAACATCAATAGTTCATATAGTGTAGATTCTTATTTTTCAGTATAGAATTAATAATTCGTTGGACAACCTGATGATTTATAATTACAGTTGAATTTATTAGATGCACGGTTGTCCTTTGCAAGCATTTATAACCAAGTTGATCTGTCATTAAGATAATTCGAGGTTGAAATTAAGTCGAATTTCAATAAAAATTAGAAAAAAATCACTTAATATAATTTGATAAAAAAAACTTAAATTGATACATGAATCTATTAGCCTAGAAAAAACTCAGTTATGATTTATTAATATTTTTTATTTTTTTAAATGATATCATTTTTTAGTTTTTTTATAAAATAAAAAAATTGAGTGAGCTCAATTACTTTTAACCGTACAATTGGTCAAATCAATTTTAAATTCCCGTAGGAATGAATAAATGATCTTGAACTTAACCTCCAACATGCGGATTAATTAAAACAATATCTAAATTGATCACTGATTGGTTTATAACGGTGCAAACTCTCATTTCCAACCGAATGTCATGTGATCATGTCTAAGTATTGTCAGCTATCTCTACTAATCTGGTTTCATGCGTGTTCGTCCGATATCAAAGCAAAGGTTGTGGGCTGTCACCGCATCAGAATCGCGTGCTGTCAGTATAAGTTTCATTAAAATATTTATAGATTAAGCACAAGTTGACTTGATGTCTTCTCGTTTTAGAATTTACCTCTTAACTCAGAATCGCTTGCAAACATTTTGGCGCTCAGTTTTGTACTTAATCCTGTCGATAGAATAATTATAGATAAATTATTAATATCAATATTAATTAAAAAAATTATCAGTAAAATTGTTAAATCTAAGTAATGCTCAAAGCTGCACAAGATATTGCTCTTGTGAGATAAGTCGTCCACTTGTCGTCTACCATGGATTGCTGGCCTGGCCTGAAGCAAATTTTCGGTGTTGCAAACTA